CTCTCTGGGTATGACCCTCTAGCCAATTTGCCACCCACCGGACTGTGTAATCATCCAAGTCACAGCTTCTTAATTTGCTCACCAGTATGGGGTGGGATACCATATCAAAGGCCTTCCTGAAGTCTAAGTAAACGATATCTACTCCTACTGCTGCATCCAGGTGTTTTGTAACCTGGTCATAAAAAGAGACTAGATTAGTCAGGCATGATCTACCTGCTAGGAACCCGTGCTGGCTTCTCTTCAGCATAATTTTTCGTGCTGGGCTCTCACATATATGAGCCTTAATAATCTTTTCAAAGACTTTACCAAGGATGGAGGTGAGACTGACTGGCCTGTAGTTGCTTGGATCCTCCTTCCAACCCTTCTTGAAAATAGGGACCACATTGGCCCTTTTGCAGTCCTCTGGGACCTGGCCTGTAGTTTGCAACATTATGTTTGTGTTTGAAAAGAAAACAAGAATAATCTCTATCTAAATTCAAATCCCAGAATAGCTAACTGACTACATATTCCAAAGATCTGCTGTTAAAGGACACTGTCATCTTAAAATTTGATGCATCTTTAAAAGGAATTTAAAAATAGTTTCAAGTAGTATATCTCTTCCCATATTCTTCTCTTTATTTCTGTACTTCTGCAGTCATTTGTCAACATTGTTCTGGTTTCACGTTGCACAAATGGCAAATTAAGTTAACCCAACTATATTCTAGAACGGAGTTGGAAGGGACCTCAGGAAATCTAGTCCAACTCCTTGCTCAAGGCAGGATTGCCATGATTAGATCATCCCAGTTAAGTGCCTGTTTAACTTGTGCTTAAAAATGTCCAAGCATTCCACAACCTCTCTGGGTAGTCTCCAGTGCTTAACTAGCCATTGTGAGAGAGTTCTTCCTAATGTCCAGCCTCAGCTGCAGCAGCCCTATGGCATGCGCCTGGTGACCTGTTCCTCCCTGGCCCCCCAGAAATGCTACTGGGTGAGGAGCTATGCTTCTTGTGGCAAAAGTCCAGAGGACAGGTGCCATTCTGGTTGACCCCCACCCCCCAGTGCACTATTGAGTATAGATATGTCTGGTTTCTATGGCTGGACATCATGGGGCTGTGCCTACTACAGCAAAGACTCAGGGGAGGGCATTATGGTATCCCCTCTAAGTTGGCATCAGGCTCAGCGCCTTGCTCATACCACCTAGTTACACTTCTGCATATATATAAAATGCTGCCAGATATGCAAAAGAGAAAACAAATTATTTTCTGTATCTTACACTTTAATATTAGAACTATAAGAAGTTTTATTTTTGAAATTCTGTTCCTAAAATAGGGTCTGCATTTAAAATGCTATAATTAGACTTCAGAGTCAATACACTGGACTTTTATATTTCTCTTGGCAAGTTATCTTTGAACTTAAAAAGGCCGGATGCTTTTTTGGTTAAATTAATGCTTCCAGTTCTGTAAAACTCATGAGGTCAGCAAAAAAGAACAAGAGAAGCAGCTGTGAGGTTTACTATTCAGTACTGGCTTGATCCAACCTGATTTTAGAGATTTATTACTAAAAACACTTCCTAAGCAGGAAATCTGCCTGTATATGTAAAGTAGCACGTAAATTCATGAGCCATGTAAATGGTTTTTTTTAATATTTCCTGCCAGCAGACAAAGAAAAAGTGCTTGGACTCTACATAAGCCCATTGGTGAAAATAAATCTTCTGGCCAGAAGAGAGGGAGAAAGCCTATTTTAGGCATTTCCTGATCTTACAGGAATAAGTCATAACTTTTTTAACTTGTCCTGCTTTCTGGAATAGAGTTTGCCATTAATAATAGAGCAATGCCTAGCTTCTCAAAAAAAGCAGAAATAGGATACGGACATGAGGGAGAACTCTTTGTTCACAAGAGCTGAATAATAATTCCACTTTTAATTAGTTGGGATCTGAAATAAACAAAGAGGATACATGCTGCAGAGTGATTGTTGCCAGAAGGGATGCAGGCCTCTCAGTTCACTTAACAGAAATTCACTGATGGACCACCTCATGAGAAAGCCACCCAGCTGAGATCAGACAGGTGGAAAGGCTTCTAAGACTTCAAGGTTTTATATAACTTAAAATGTATTTACATCTTTTCTTTTTGCTAATACATGACAGACATATGTCTGCATTTGGGTTTGGGTGTTTTATTTGTTTAGCTGGGAAGTGTCCCCTGACATCCCCATTTGTGAGTTTATGAATGCAGTTTTGTTCTCTCATTTTAGAAATAGTCACCTGCTATATGTTAAGTCTACTGCCACTGAAAGCAGTAGGAGTTTTACCATCAACTTGAATCAAAGTAGAGTTAGACCAAGAGTGAAAACTTTGAAAATCCATTCTTTCTTTAGTTTTAGAAAGACAGGTACTACAGTATCAAATTAGTACTCCATTTAGTTCCATAATCCGTCTCTGCTACACCAGTTGCTCCAGGGGAAAACAGTCAAGAACCTAAAATGAAATATGTCCCAAAAAAGTCATATTAAGCTTCTGAGATTAAATTATGTCTCTCATATCATACCTAAATACCAAACTTAGACAGTTATTTAACTATAATAATATTAATTGGAAACTGGATAATCCCAAGAAAATGGAAAGGATGATAATGGGAGGTGGGGATTACTAAGAAACAAAAGCAGAATTTTATGGGGCAGTGATCCCCAATGACTATCTTGTGCAGGTTCATGTTACTCTTCATGAAGGGTTGTTTGGCTGCCGTTTAATATCATTAAGCTTGACGTGATCAGTCTAATTATTCTGTCCTAGAACAATAAAAAGGAACTGCAGTAAGTGAGCTTCAAGCTTACGTGCAGCATGCTGTGTGTCTAGAAGGAGAAATCAAGAGTAGGAGTTCCCTTCTCTTCCTCCTCCAATTGTTTTGCTTCTGCAATTGAGTTTGCAGGGAGCTGCCTTTCTTCAAATACCAAGCAGAAGATCTGGGCTACTGTTAGTTGCAGAACTTTGCAGAACCATACTTTATTTTTAGGAGTCATTAAGTACCTGGGCTGAAATTCCTCCAGCTAAGAAAAGTTCTCTGAAGTCCCACTTTCTTGAAAGGGAATTGCACCCACATATCTTAAGGGAATTTGGCCCTAGGAAACTATGCATATTTATGGTGGCAGAGCTATTCTTTTTTTCTAAAGACAATGGCTTTGTTTACTGTTTTGGGGATGGTCAATAAGTAAAGATAAGAGCTTATTTGCCCAAAGCACCTTTATTGCATCATATTTAGATTGCAGGAGAACAGCAATTTCAATCTACTTTTTCTCTTGGTTGTAAATACTAATTACTACTTACGAATTTTGTAAGTGGCTGTTACCTCTGGTGGTGGTAGTAATCATAAATGGTACACCTGTTGAACTGGTCTATAGTGGCGGTCTTCAATTTGTCACAGTCTAGGTTCCTTAATATTTCACAACAT